GCTTTGTATTTAGGTTATGAAATTCTCTGATATATGTTTTAAGTAAACAGTAGGCTTTTTGATATATTACATAAGCATTCCATTGTTCCATAATAACATTAAGTTCTCAATTACCAATTTTTGATAATAAACTTCCCAATGATCTCATGAAAAAAAAAATCCCCTCTGTTGTCACCAGGTGTTTAGATTATTTAGGGTAATGAATCAGTACAAAATACAGCTACAACCCCTTTGCTACCCTCTGCATTCCATCCCTGTCTGTCCTTCCACAAAGTGGCCTACCTAGGAGACAAGGGAGAGCTAGGTTTTTCTCTCACACTTCTATTCCTCTGTCTGTCCCTTTTCCCCCGTTCCCTGGGGTTGAGGATCCCTTTGACTCTTTACTCTCTGTCTCCAGGAAGCAGGCAGAGTCCACCAAACGATGCTAATTGGCGGTAATTGGCCTCTGGATGGTCATGAGGAAAGAAGAGTGTTCTCTGGCAGATCTTACATATTCCTGAAGTCCTGGGCCTGGCTGTGGTGAGAACCAAAGTAGATGGGCCATGGAATCAAACTGGCTTGTAGACCGACTTCCAGAGCCAAACTTGTAGCCTCTCTGAGCCCTAGTATGCTCATGGAATTTGAATTTCAGAAACTCTGATTTAGGATCCTAAGAGTTTCCTTTCTAAACTAGGAGTTTTGCCCTAACCCTGCTCTGCAAGCAAGAACAAAGGGTGCTCTTGACTGATGGTTTCCACTTGACAGTCCAGGTGTTGTTCTCTCTGGAACCAATTCACCTTCAGACACATGCTTAAAGGTTTAACTGACAGCCTTCTTTGTCAAAATCCCAGGCAGTTGACCTGGGATACCTAATGATGCGTCAAAGGCCATGACAGACTAGTTTTGCTTTCCTTGGTCAAATTGCTTTACCTTCTTTTATTTTTTTCTTACCTTTGGAGACCCCATCTGAACAAAGGGATATTTGTAATGGTGAAAAATGATAATGTATGGTAAATGTTTTCCACCAGTGTGTGGCATGTGTTCAATGCCCAATACAATAGACTCCTTATTAACCCCCTTTCCCTCTGTCCTGAGGGTATGCTTGTTGTTCTGCTGGTTTTTGAAGGCCAGAGACTTTTCTTTTTAGCTCCTCAGGAAAGCAGGAAGTTTCTCTCTAACCAGGGCAAAGTATCAGAGAGAGTCTGAGCTTCCAGGCTCCACCCTGGG